CCTGCTGACCACCTATCGCCTGACAGGAGGCTGCAAAAGAGGCGCTGTACAGGCGGAACCTGGTTGAGAGCGAGGTGAGTTCTCCAGGAGGCGGGGTAGGGGCGCAGGGCGCTCTGGTCATGGCCCCCCTGACACCAGCGGCCTGTCCCCCAGCTGCAGCGGCTGCGCAGGTGAGGGGCTGACCGGGCGGGTGGCCCCTGGAGAGTGGGCAGCAGGCCCAGGGCACGGCGCTGGGCAGAGCAGACACGGCCCCCCACCAGACAAGGAGACAATCAGCGGACAATCGGCTCCGGACTCGTCCCCCGGCCAGGCCCCCAGCCCAGCGGGAGCGTCCCTGGAAGACGGCATCAGAGATGGTGCCAGCCAGCCAGCGTGTGCCCCTTGTCCAGGCCTGGCTGAGGCGGGCACCGGAGAGTCCTGTTTGCACAGCCCGGGGGTGCACAGCTCTGGCCTGCCCTGGAGCCGGGAGGGCGGTTGGGACCAAGCCCCAAGGACCCCTGCAAGCACTTTAGTTCACGTCCCTCACCGGCCTTAACCCCAAAGCCCTCCCTCTCACCCCAAAGAAGCCGCTGCGGCTCAGGCCGTGAGCCCCGCTGGTTCCCCAGGGAGTCGTCCGGGCCCAGCTGGGCCCCCAGGGTTGACACACGGAATAAACAGCCAGGGCCACACCCGCCTCAGCTCTGTCTTGAATGTACTTCTTGCCAAAGGAGCGTTTGCCTGGCACGCTTGCCACAGGGGACACTCACGAGGGTCCAGACATCTGTCACCCTGTGTTTCTTCAGTTGGTGGCCTCGGGTGTTTTTGACTTGGGGACTCACGCATGTCTCAGGCCCTTAAAGTCCAGCCCCGCTGCTCATTGGCCTGAGACAGTGAGATGCCCGTGCATGCACATCGGGACCGGGTGGCGCCGGCTGCATCTTCCATCCTTCCCGGGAGCGTCCTGTGCCCCAGCCCCAGGTGGAGCAGGCCCCAGTGAGCGCCATGTCTTTAGCTACTAACCCAGCCAAGCTGCAGGTGTCAGGGTGCTCTGATGGGTCCCTCTGGGTTCAGCGGCCCCTGCCGTGGGGCTGTGGGCGGTAGTCGGACCAGCACCTGCTCCGGGTTCCCTGCCGTGTCCACCACCCGCAGGTTCGGAAGGCCCAGGAAGGCCTCAGCCGCGATGCTCGTCATGTGAAGCCTGTTGGCCCTGGACAGAGAGGTGGCTGTGAGGGCACAGCCGGGACCCACTCCCCTGTCCCCCACGCCCCGCCCGCCCTCCCTCGGGGCACCTGCGGAAGAGGGCTCGCAGGCGGGGCGTGCTGATGAAGGCCTCGGGGCCCACGTGGCCAATACGGTTGCCCTGCAGATGGAGCTCCTCCAGGGCCTCGGGCAGGTCGGGGGGCACGAAAGACAGTGCATTGTGGCTGAGGTCCAGGACCTGCAGGGGGTGGTCGAGGGGACAGAGATGGCGGTGGTGGCCCCAGGCCCAGGGCCCCCGGCTCAGCCAGCTCCCAGCCTGTCTTAGCCACCCTCTCCACGGGTGCCAAACTGCCCTTACAGAGCCACACCGGGCCCCTTCAGGGGGCGCAGACTCAAAGGTGCCATTTTCTCCATAGCCCGCATCACGTTTTTTTTTAATATATAAACTTTTTTTTTTTTTTTGAGAGTTTTTTGCTATAGGGCATGTGTGCTCGCCAGAAAGACAGGAACAGAGAGACAGGGAGAAATCACCCCCCAGGGGGGATGGCCACGCTGCAATCCCTTCTCCTCCATTCTCCTCCGGGGATCTTGGGCACGCACGCACATGCGCCTGGCGTGAGTTTAAGCCACCAGGTCCAGGACTCGAACCGCGGTCGACTACATGGGAATCCAGTGACATAGCCATTAGGCCAACTGCTGGTCTCCCCCCTTTCTTTCCTATAGAGCACATGCACCCACTGAAGACTCGGAGGAAGTGAGACATCACCTCCCAAGGGAGATGACCACACCGCAATCCGTTCTCCATTCCCCTGTTGGGATTTTAGGCACGCACACACACCTGAGTGAGTTTCAAGCCACCAGGTCTGGGACTCAAACCGGGGTGGGCCATGTGAGAGTCCAGCCCCCAACTTTTTTTTTTTCTTTTACATTTGTTACAGGGTGCTTATGTGCTCTCTAGAAAGAGAAACAGAGAGAGGGAGAGAGAGATAGTGAGAATGCACCCACCCCCCAGGAGGGATAAACCATGCCATAATCCCGTCTCCGGGTCTCCTCTCGGATTTTGGGCACCCACGAACACGTGCCCAGTTTTTTTTGTTTTGTTTTCTTTTCTTTTCCCCAAGCCGTGGCTCAGAGACTGGAACTGCGCCCCTTCATCACCTTCCAATACACACACCCTGTCATTTAATCATTATGGCGCCCTCATTGGCTGTTCAAGGCAGGGGCGGGGCAGTGCGAGGGGCGGGGCGGGGCCTGTCTTCTGTGCCTAGAACAGTGCCCGGCACCCACCGAAACTCTAGAATTCTGGGAAGCACAATGCTCTGAGTCAGCCAAGTGCAGGGGCGCACTCTGAGGTGGGGTGGGGGTGGAGAGGGTGATGGCGGAGGACCAGGTGGCGGGGACAGCACAATCAAAGGCCAGGAGGCCCTGGCTGGCTTATTACCCCCGACCTGGGCTGGCCCATGGTGGGGCCTCTGCTTTGTGGCCCCACAAAGCAAGGACCTAGGAGAGGGGTGGGTGGGCACGGGGATACAGGGGCCTTAGGGACAGCCTGGGAACAGCCCGACCCTAACCTGCAGGGCCTGCAGCTCATGCCAGGTGCCGGGCCCGATGTCGCCGACTCGGAGCCGATTGTGCGCCAGGTTGAGCTCCCGCAGTTGGTCCAGACCGGCCAGCGGTTCGGGCTCCAGGACCCGCAGCTGGTTGCGCTGCAGACGTAGGGCATGCAGAGTGGCGGGCAGGCCGGTGGGCAGCCGGGTGCCAGGACCCGCAGGGAAGCCAGGTCGCGGGCGCCCAGCGCGGCCACGCGGTTGTGGGGCAGCACCAGCGCGCGCAGGCGGCGGGGCAGCGCCAAGGGCACGCGGTCCAGCCCGTTGCCGTAGAGGTGCAGTGTGTGCAGGCCCCGCAGCGGCCGCAGAGCGCCGGCGGGCAGCCCCGAACTTCCCAGCTCGTTGTGCTGCAGGAGCAGGTACCGCAGGCCCCGCGCCCCTTGCAGCCGGGCCGCCTCCACCCGCCGGATGCGGTTGCGGCCCAAGTGCAGGATGGCCAGGCTCCGGGGCAGGCCGGCGGGCACCGAGGTCAGCTGGTTGTGGGACAGGTCCAGGTACTCCAGGCTGTGCAGCTTGCTGGGGGGAGAGAGGGTGGCACTGGGCTGGGCGTGAGAGTGGGTGGCTGGCCATCGCCGTCAGACGGAATTTTTTTCATTTTTAAAGAATTATTTCTGGGGGAACCAGCAGTTAGCGTAATGGCTATGTCGCTGGCTTCCCACGTAGTCGACCGCGGTTCGTGTCCCGGCCCACGGCGCG